TCTTCTCAAAGCCTGCCTAAAGGTCCTCTTCATACTCATTCCTACAATAAACTGTAGGAATTTAGTTTTTAAACTACTCCAGATTGTCGCCGCCTGAGATGCTATTGAGCAAAGAGGAAAGGATACTTTTGTGCTGATGTTTCCCACCTTCAAAGCAAAAAATGATAGGAAAAGAGAGTTCAATGGGTATCACTGGTTCATAGTTTTACTTATTTGTCACTACATAGTTGTGCACATCACACGTTTAAATCACCAGAAACTTGGTGGTACTCTTACTCCATCTTTTCCATCCTCTATAATGTTACATCTCAATGTTTCCATCTCAACCTAACGAGAGAGCTGGACAGAACAGGAGTACTACGCGTTATTCTTGCATGAGATGCAACCTAACTAGGGTTCATTGTTGATTTGAGCCTTCGGGCTCTATTATAAAATTAGTATGAAAGAGGAATATATTATCTTAGTTCTAATCTATAGGATATTATTCTGTAAGGGGCAAAGTATGGCTCAGCGGAGGCTCTCACTATGGCAGATTTAATATATATTTGTCTCAGGGCTGCCACCGTGATTCAGTATTTCTACTGCGTTCAGTATTACTTGTGATCAAATTGGAACCTGAAAGGACTACCTAAAACCTGTGCTACAGTAGACATCTTAATTTGTGACAATAATTGAAGCTGGGGGACTATGTAAGTGCAAAGTGAAGCATTTGTATGCATGTAGGATTGAAGCCTACTTGAACAGTTTCTCTCATTATGTAGAAATTTCCTGTCTAATGGATTAAACGTTGGATTGGTTGGAAGATCAGTGTTTGCACAGGAAACTCACAATATATTCCTTCCTTGTAGTGAAAATGTAGACCCTTTTAGGCATGTCAGTTCAATATTTTATCTTACAGCAGAAAGAAGGTCAGTGGCAGCTACACTAATGCAGCTTTCTGAATCTCCTGGTGCCAGTCCCTTAAAAACCTTTATGCTTTTTGCCTAGACTCATAAATTAATGACACTTGGTACTCTCATATGTGCATGTGTGCTGATTTTCCAAGGATCAGCTTCAGAGAGTTACACTACATCCATAAACACTAGCCGCAGGATTCGCAGGTAAGAGGCATAAGCAGCTGCTTTTGAAGCAAACAGATGTGTTGCTCTTAATTTTGTCCTAAGGAAATAGATCTTGCCGAACCCGAATTCCTTTCTGTTGTTACCAAAGGACTTAATTTACCCAATTTACAGGACAATTCTCTTTCAGCAAGAGCTAAGTCTTTACCACTGCTCATCTGTCAGGGATTCATGGGCCAAATCAGCAATTTACAGGTGTATCAAAGGATACTCACGTAATTCGTGCCTGCAGCTGAATATGGTCCTATTTGAACAAACTCATCTTTGACCCGGTCCTGACAGTCAGGAAGGTGGAGGTCTGTTTTCTTGTTATGAGCCAGGAGCACACGTGACGGGAAGCAAGGAAGGAAGTGGCTTTTGTATTGACTGTTCCCCACCTCCGTGAAAGGTGCTTTTGCTGCCAGAATGTTGTGCTTGAAAGGGTTGTCCCGCTCCTGTCCCTGGGGTGAGCTTTCTGCGTCGGATCCTGCAGCGTACTGACCCTCCATCCCTCTTGCTTTCATCTTTTGCACATCAAAAACATGCCAATAGCACTAATGAGAATTCTGGAACAATGCTGTCTAATTAATGGCTCTTGACCTACTGGGGCATGATATATTTTTTCAAGTATCAGTGTTGACTAGTTTATTTCCTATTATTTTTCCTCCTATAAATTCCCAAAGTTATTAGTAACCCTGCTGTTTCATAGTCGTGTAGCCACTTTATAAGTCCTGGGAGGAGGGAATTCTGTGTACTGTGGCATGGCACACCCTCTGACGTTGTGCTTTTCCTCCAAACCATCCTTGTTTTTTTCTTTCCATTAATGCATTTTAAATTAAATATTTTAATCTTGTCTTTATTTCTGCTTTGGCTGTGGCATAGCAATTTCCTGCCCCTGGGCTTCACTGCTGATGAGGTAGAGAGCGTAAAAATTAAAAATGCAGATTTAAAAAGAAGCGTAGTGTATACTTATGCATGTTAAAAGATTGAGATGTATGCAAAAGACTTCTTTTCCTTTTGCAAGGCCTTTTGCTTCCAGTGATGATAAAATTACTAGACTTGGTGTTGCACTTAACACTGATTATAGAGTGAGACGATAAATACTAGAAGTGATTTCAATTCAGTAGGTGGAGAGATAACAAGCTCTTGTGACTGAAAGCTGAAATTAGGTAAATTCAGATTAGAATTGTGAACAATGACAGTAATTAGCTAGAGAAAGCCCTCTGAGAGTCGTGTTCTCCCCAGTGGAAGCCTGAGCCGCTGCCTCCTCCGGCATCGCCCGGCTGGGATCCTCTGAGCACCCCTTCCGTGCTTCGCAGGTGGTCAGCGATGATGAGCACCCTAATTTAGCGTGGCCTAAAAATACAACACTCTCCTCAAATGTACATGTAATGCGTAGAGGACCTACAAAACCACAGTTGTAATAACTGGTGTGGTGGCAGGAGATTAAAACCCCACAGCTCAAGCAGGCTCCGCTACATGTTTTGCAAATAAAATTTGGGCCATGTAAACAATGCCTTCATTAAGGACATTTTCAGCAAATAAATTTTTCACAAAATAAAATCCTTTTTATTTACTTACGCTGCAAAGTATACTTTTAAACCATCTGCCTTACAGGTTCACCAAGCCCGACAAAGCCTTCGCTCCTAAACATTTACCTCCACTCGCCTGTTTGTGTCGGCTGAACAAATGTTTTTTTTTCCATCTGTGTTCACACGATAAGCAGTGTCAGTACTAAGCCTTCCACCTTTCTGTCCCAGTGGGGCACCAGCTTTCCAATTACCCTGTCCTGCTGTTGTAAGCTGATAAATTCACCACAGCGCAGTCCCATGTCGGGTTACCACAAGGGAGTCGGTTACCTGCTCTAGAAAAATACTTTAATTAGTGGCTATTGAGGTCTAAGAAATGGCCTTCATTTTGCAAATTTAGGAAAAAGATGTCTCTCTCCCTACTGTTTTCCTTGACATTAAAATGAGATGATTTATGGGGTTTGATGGCATTTCACTAAAAATAGCCGAGCTCTTGTTACCCATTACTGTCACTTTTGATTAATTTAAACGTGGCTGTGACCGTATTCTTCCTACATAATTTATCTCCTAGAAAAAAATTACATCTTCTTTGAATGTAAAAGGAAATATTCAGAAATAGATTCAGAGTTGCCAGCAGAACAGATTTTGGAAGCGATATAAAACTTCCTTTCTACTTCAAGTAGCAGAGCTACAGCAAAAGCCGAGTGTCTGGTCTCTGCCTACCACAGAGTTTTATGCATCCTTTGAAACATTTGGCGACGACCACCCTCAGAGGCAGGCAACCAGATTAAACAAATGATGGGACAAATCACACACTAGATTAATTATCGCTGGATGCAGGATGTTCTTGTGAAATCTCTTTATTTCATCCTTGCCCTTCCAGTTGGAATAGAGCTGCAGAACTGACAAGCAAGCTCATTATTGGATTTCAGAGAAAATAAAGCACTGAGCTACTGTTCTGTTAACTGGTAAACAAACAAATGAAAGAAATACATTTAAGGCATGACCAAGTGATTATTTTCGCTATGTACTCGGATATGTAATTTAAGGATTTACAGCCTTTCCACCTAATTTGGTCAGCATGAAATGCTGTCATTGCTAGACCATTACAGGCTTCATCCAGCTTTTTAGGAAGCCAAGGCAATGATGGCCTGACAACGCTTCAGAGGACTCATGAGGAATTTATTATCAGATTAACATGCCTTGCAGAAAGTTGAATAAAAGTGGCTGTATTCCACTGGATGCAAGTATTGGATAACTCGTCAACGTTATCAAAAACAGTCCACCACTTAGTCCACAAATTAGGATCATATTTTTTTTAGATGGAATGCTTATTTCTGTAAACAATGCTGTACCAAGTATCTCTGAAAGAAAAATCAAAGTTCTAGGACTTGATTGGTTTTAAATCTGTTTATTAAGAAAAAGCTTTTCTTTTTACATAGAAAAGATACAGAGGAAGGTAAATAAATGCAGTAGACTTCATTACCTCATGTAATAGCTGTACAACTGAATCTTAATGACAAAAGTTGCAAAAACCTAAGTAGTATAAAAAGCCACTTCCAAGATGAGACTCTGACAGAGCGAGAACAAGACACAGAAATGAACAACACTGAACAACTGTGAATCACAAGTATGTAGAAAGACACAGCCAGTACACCACAAGAGGCCTCGTGCCAAAAGATATTCCTGTTTCATTATTAAGCTTTGAATTGGGAAATCAGATAAATTTAATTCTTGAGGCAATCTTGGTATCTGGTGTATCCTGCAACTTATTACTTAATTTGCCAACTTTACAGAGACGGAGAGCCTTTAAAATTTTGCTTAAAAAGAAACTCCAATGGGACAGGTATTTTGTTTTTCACAAATTCTTAAATCTTGTTTTTTCCTATGTTCCAGATTATTTCCCCAAGGATTCCGTGAAGGAGAATAAAACAATGAGGAATATTCAACTCAAAGCTGTGAATGGAACTGAATACTCTTCCACTGCCATCTGTGACAGCCTTTGCCGAAGCTTGCAGAAGACCATAGAGATCTGCTGCAACGCTTTCCGGGCACCTTCCTGAGAACTTGGGCAAATTCACCCGTGCTCCACCGATGGCACGGTTAGGCTCACAAAGGGGTATTGTGCAGACTTAAAAAAAAATATACATGGGGAAAATAATGAAAACAGACGCTTGACTGGCAACAGAAGACAAAGATTTATTTTAACTGACTTTCAACTGGTGTTGAGATTGCTTGAGAGACATTCAGTAAATTTGTAAGACCACCACAGATATGACTACAAACGCATATTGTGTCTATCTCACTACCATGCCCTCTCTTCATAAAGGCACTAACTATAAATAATATGAAAACAGACAGATTAAACACCAGGAAAAAAAAAATGATTGCTTGTATGATCTTCTATGTTTATGTCTGTATACATTCATGCTTTAAATGTACAATTTTCAAATTAATTTAAAAGGTCACCTTTATTTTGGCAATACAACTGATAAAATGAAACATGCAGATCACAGGGCTCGACAGAACTCAGTGCATAATTTTGTCAGAATGAAGCAGTTCTTTATCACCCTTTGCGAGTCAGGAATACATTCATATTACAAGGCAAAAAAACCCCCACCCAAACTCGACATCATCTGGCTTCTGTTTAATGCGTCTGCTTTTCCACATCCTCTCCAACATCTTTGGATAGTAAAATCTAGGTCTGACCACAGGTTAAATTGTATGGTTATATTTTAACAGTCTTCATAGTGTAGCCAGGCAAGACAGAGCTGCCTGTATTCACTGTTCTATCTCCAGGCTATCCATCTTTAAGTCGGGGGGTTTAAAGCTCATCACTTCTTCATAGGTAAGTTCTGTAGAGAAGGGTGTAAGGGAGAGAGAAGAATTAGGTGATACGCTCTTCAAAAGGAAAATATTCCACACAAAACAGTTCTATGGATACACGTGACTTGTAGTTTTTATTTCCAGCCTTTTTAGGGTCCATATCCAAAAATAGACTGAATTCACTAGGAATCCTTCTGTTAACCTCAGATTACAAATTAGACTCACAAATACTGTTATTGTACAATATGTCTGTCCCCTTCAGCTAATTACTAAAACACACAGGCCCTGAAATGGAAACATCAATTATGCTGCCAGATGACCTGCCAAAAATGATGTAATAAAAGACAAAATGTCATGGAAAATGGAATCTTTAAAAGCACCCAAACAGGTTTTAAAATGTACACTGCTAACTGCGGAGAATGTTCTTTATCATCTCTCAGTCAATTGCCTTCAACATAAATCACTTGCAACTCTGTGCTAATGCCTTGGGATCTAGGTTTTGGGGTATTTTACATTTTATTGTAACTAACTTAATTGTTAGATTCTCTGAAAAAAAACCCCAACTTTTTTGGTCTTAAAAGCACGTAACAGTTCAACTTTCATCAAGAAGGGCTGAGCTGGAAACAGGGATTCCCTGCTATTTCACCCTGCTTTAGAAATAGCCCTTTCTCTTTTCATGCTGACAGTCATGTACCGCTTCGTGCTTTGCATGGTAACAGAGTACATCGTCAGCAGCTGCCTCCTATGTATTTTCTCAAGTTAGATATTGTATTTTAAGGAGCAAATCCCACGCACACATAAATATATGGCTAATGCCTTACCTCAGGTTCTGTTTTCCAAACAGTGATATTTAAATCATATCAAGCTTGTGCCTACCAGCTTGTTTATTAAACAGATCCCAGACAGCTGCTATGCCTGCAAGTGGACCTAGCACTCCCCTAATGAGTATGTAAAAATCTTGGGGCTAAATCTTGCTTATGCCCTGGCTGTGTTACGCTGCAGCACGGTGTACAGTGACCAGCATGCCAGCTTTGGTGACGGATTTCCCTGAAAGAAATTCTGTGTGCAGAACCCCTGAGGAGGAAGCATCGGTTAGGGCACTCCTTCAGTGACTGATGTGCAGCTATTAAGTGGCATCTGGTGACAGGCAGCCAGGCGGGAGATAGAGTGGTCCTGACTGAACTCCGAGGAAGCCAATGTCCTCACAGATCAGACACCTGGAACTGCAGTGGACACTATTCCTCC